ACATCTCCACTGCTCCAGCCTTCTCCTCGCTGCAACATTCATCACCCACGCTTCACACCCATATAAGAGCGTTGGTAAAACTATACTCTCATACATTCCCCTCTTTGCTCCAGGACAAAGTTCTTTGTCTCCACAGACTCCTAAGTGCACCACTCACTCTTTTTCCCTCATCAATTCTATGATTCACCTCATCTTTCATAGACCCATCCGCTGACACGTCCACTCCCAAATATCTGAATACGTTCACCTCCTCCATACTCTCTCCTCCAATCTGATATTCAATCTTTTCATCACCTAATCTTTTTGTTATCCTCATAACCTTACTCTTTCCTGTATTCACCTTTAATTTTCTTCTTTTGCACACCCTACCAAATTCATCCACCAATCTCTGCAACTTCTCTTCAGAATCTCCCAAGAGCACAGTGTCATCAGCAAAGAGCAGCTGTGACAACTCCCACTTTGTGTGTGATTCTTTATCTTTTAACTCCACGCCTCTTGCCAAGACCCTCGCATTTACTTCTCTTACAACCCCATCTATAAATATATTAAACAACCACGGTGACATCACACATCCTTGTCTAAGGCCTACTTTTACTGGGAAAAAATTTCCCTCTTTCCTACATACTCTAACTTGAGCCTCACTATCCTCGTAAAAACTCTTCACTGCTTTCAGTAACCTACCTCCTACACCATACACTTGCAACATCTGCCACATTGCCCCCTATCCACCCTGTCATACGCCTTTTCCAAATCCATAATGCCACAAGACCTCTTTAGCCTTATCTAAATACTGTTCACTTATATGTTTCACTGTAAACACCTGGTCCACACACCCCCTACCTTTCCTAAAGCCTCCTTGTTCATCTGCTATCCTATTCTCCGTCTTACTCTTAATTCTTTCAATTATAACTCTACCATACACTTTACCAGGTACACTCAACAGACTTATCCCCCTATAATTTTTGCACTCTCTTTTATCCCCTTTGCCTTTATACAAAGGAACTATGCATGCTCTCTGCCAATCCCTAGGTACCTTACCCTCTTCCATTACATTTATTAAATAATTGCACCAACCACTCCAAAACTATATCCCCACCTGCTTTTAACATTTCTATCTTTATCCATCAATCCCGGCTGCCTTACCCCTTTCATTTTACCTACTGCCTCACGAACTTCCCCCACACTCACAACTGGCTCTTCCTCACTCCTACAAGATGTTATTCCTCCTTGCCCTATACACGAAATCACAGCTTCCCTATCTTCATCAACATTTAACAATTCCTCAAAATATTCCTTCCATCTTCCCAATACCTCTAACTCTCCATTTAATAACTCTCCTCTCCTATTTTTTAACTGACAAATCAATTTGTTCTCTAGGCTTTCTTAACTTGTTAATCTCACTCCAAAACTTTTTCTTATTTTCAACAAAATTTGTTGATAACATCTCACCCACTCTCTCATTTGCTCTCTTTTTACATTGCTTCACCACTCTCTTAAACCTCTCTCTTTTTCTCCATATACTCTTCCCTCCTTGCATCACTTCTACTTTGTAAAAAACTTCTCATATGCTAACTTTTTCTCCCTTACTACTCTCTTTACATCATCATTCCACCAATCGCTCCTCTTCCTCCTGCACCCATTTTCCTGTAACCACAAACTTCTGCTGATCACTCTAACATACATTTTTAAACCTACCCATACCTCTTCGACCCCATTGCCTATGCTCTCATTAGCCATCTATCCTCAATAGCTGTTTATATCTTACCCTAACTGCCTCCTCTTTTAGTTTATAAACTTCACCTCTCTTCCTGATGCTTATATTAGCTTGTATCCATCAGTTTCCTTTTACTTCAGTGTGCTCAATAGAAGTGTTATTATCTGTGCCTTTAATAAAGATAATCTGAATGTCTACTCAACAGTTTTTATCTACATTACTAAGGACCATTCAAACATGTTCATTAGCTACATCATATGTGTATATTTTGTTTAATTCATTTTAATATGTATTAACTATAAACTAACATTCTATACATAGTTTTTCACTAACAAAGGCTCCATTTATTTACCTGCACAAGCTTAGCATACAACCACTCTGAATAATTTTCTCCTACTTTAGAATTCAGCCTACCACATTCTCTCTGATAGTTGCAAAGCTCAATAATCATTAACATTTCAAATTCTCTCTCTGCTGTGCATGCTCACTTCTCAAGGTGATATGCTTTTTGACCAAAAACTCGATCAACATTTATTATCCACATAATTGTTTAAATAACTTTTTTTCTTTTCTTCATAAATGATCATTTAACTTCTGTACCTTCTTTGATTACTCCAGTTTACTCATTTATAATCATTATTTCCCTATCGAAGCATTATTAGCGTTGGATTCGCTCAGACAAGGTACACAATATCTTTCAATGAACATAAGCAATCAATTTGAGTTTATACATTTTCCTCTTAGTCATTTCACCATTAAGCAAAACCAGTTTATGTTCAATTTCTTATTTAAGAAATAAAAAGAAAAAAGGGTCCTATGCCATTGCTCCAGTTTTAAGTGCTCGATACCTACATGGTTAGAGGAAGATTCTTTTCCACTTCCCCATTATCAACAGTATATTCTAAACAAAACTTTTATTTGTGGATACAGTACTTAATATTAAACAAGCAATAATTTATACTGTATAATAGTAATCATAGTTGAATTTTATAGCTAATACAGTTTAACTGAATTCCTTAACAACATATGCATACACATGAATAGTTAGGCATATCTTAGTTACTTTACACATATATGGGGAGAGGCATAGTGATGTAATTACTTGGTGTTCAGGCATTGTTCTTTGACTTTTTTTTTTCATATTTTTTAATATGGTTCAACCTTTAGTTTCTTTCAGTAAGCTGTTCCATAATTTGAGTCTATTTTCACTGATTCTACATACATTCTATAATGTGCATGGAGTGTCAGAGTTACCATATATATTTTTTTTGTTATGCCCATGGGATCTGTTATAACTCTCAAGGAATGAAGAGTCAGGGTCAGCATTACAGGCCCCTGAAGATGTAAAAAAGACAGTAGAATGTGTGTGTCTAGGGCTTTTATGTTTTGCAGGTTTACAGATTTGATTGGGGTGATGTATGTTGTCTAAAACTGTGGTTCTGATAGCTAACTTTTTCTGTATAATATCTTGTATATGATAGTTTGCTGTTGTTGATACTTATGAATAGATGGCATATGTGAGATATAGATAGATAAGTGTGCAGTATGGATAAACAGTATAATGTGGTACATAACAAATCTTTGAAAGTACACCTAATGTAATTTTATTTTGCCATTTATTAGAGACAGTGTGTGTGAAATTTCATTTAATTATGTTGGTGTATGCCTAAAAATTTCCCTTCATTTTTCTGATGTTAATTTGGTTGGTTTATTTTCATAATGTATGCATGGTAACAGGTTTTTCCTGCATAATATGCCAGTTTGTTGGTTGTCATCCAAGTTCATCATTGGCTGTGTTGTTTAAGGCACCAGTGTTAGTGTTGGAGATCACAAAAGTTGAGCCGTGAAACTTCTATCTGGAGTTCAAAATGCAAACAATTGGGTAGTGGACACAGTGCAGGCCTTGGATGAGTGTGAACATCAAGTTCAGCAGCATCATTCCCTTTTCATATTTTTTTTAACCCTGCTCTCTCACTTCCTGGCTTAGCATTCTGGAGTACCAAAATCTTATTTTTTTTTCTCTCTCTCTCCCATCAAGTGCTCTGTAAGTAGTGAAATTCACTTCTGCTTTTTTCATTGTGGATATTTTGCAGATTTTTGGAAAAGGTCAAACACTGATCTTGGTGGGATAAGGGGCTCACTTTGTCTGACTTTTTTGGCAGTAGGGTCCAAGTTTGGGTCCTTGTTCCTTTCTTTGTCAAGATTTAGGGAATATTTCAATCCAGAAACTGGGAGGCACTGAACTGGTATTTCAAATCTAACATAAAAGTACTGCATGAACAGCAGTATTACAAAAAGTGGGGAAAAAAAATTGCTGCAGTATGTATACTTAATTTATTTGAGCTAGTTGGAGGATGTAGTCTAATGATGGAACATAGGCTACTTGCCCTATAAGCTTGTGACCCACTTTTGGCCTTTAGATAACTTCATGTAGCAGTTATCAGAAATATTAAATACTTGTACTAATTGACTCTGACACAGCAGAAAATATTAGTGTATTCTTCATATTCCGAGTTCAGTATTGTACTTTGAGTCCTATAAGTTACAATAAAAGAAGACATTCATATATTGTGATATTATTACAGGATATACTTGGTGCATCATTTTCTGTACAGTAAATCTCCATTTTCTGGTCACTAAATTACTGAGTGGATGAGTGAGTATTTATGGGTGCTTTGAATACTGTACTTCCTTCCCACCAGGAAAGGAATTCACTAGTATCTTACAACATGCATGAACAGTGGGAAATGTGTGAGGGCTGTTATGTCTGGGAAAATCAATGCATGAACCATTTGCTATAGTAGTCTAATTTTGTAAAGGCCTTGTAACAAACATACTTGAGGCGGGCAATAAAATACACGTGCTGTGCCCAGTCAGACTAAGTTCTGTAATACAGCTCATATCTTTTGGTCTATGGATGACTTAATTGTCCTCTTATTAGATGCACTATATTTTGATGACTAGCCTGCATGCTCTTTTATATTACATCATGCAGTACTAATTTATTTTTATTGGCTATCAGCATTCAGGTTTTGTCAGCATTGAGTATTTTGGTTGTTGAAAAGTAAATCTTTTTAGAATTTTCTATAACTTACACTCTATTAATGGATATGCAATTATTGAGCCACCAAGTAACCATGGAGTAGATACTCTGTAGCCTCTAGAACATCAATATGTTTAGAATTCATATTTAGCTTTGTGTGTTTTATTATGGGGTGTAATTTTAGTAGCAAATTGTGTGATATACAATATAAACCAAATTCTAATAGTTTTCAATTATTTATAGACATCACCCTCTTCTGTGCAGGAGAGCATTGATGATGTACGTGTAACATTTTCTGATGATGGATCTCAAAGATGCCAGGTTCCAAGACATACAGAAACTCCTCTCTATCTCCCTGGTCATATTCTCTATTGCTTTCCAAGCTTACCAGAAGAAGAGAGGTAAGTACTTGAAAGATATTTAATACAGTGAATTTAAATATTTTTGCTTCCAATATTTCTTTAAAAATTTTGTGTCTGTGTTTTATTAACCCTTTCAGGGTGGACAGGCCCTCTCAGAGACTTGTTCTCAGGGTCGGCCAAAATTAAAAAAAAAAAAAATTATTTTTTTCTTATGAAAAGATAGAGAATCTTTTCCCAATCATAATGACACCAAAAGTATGAAATTTGATGGAAAACTTACGGAATTATGCTCTCGCGAAGTTAGCGGTCTCGATGTTTATGCATCGGCGATTTTGCCCACTTTGAGCCCTATTTTCGGCCAATTCCAGTGTACTTGTCGACAAAAATCATAACTATTTCGCTAGAACTCCATTTTTTCTATCTAATGAGTACAAGAAACCACCCATTTACCAATTTCAACTATCCAATACAGTGGTCAGAATTCAGCAATTTTGCCAATTTCACACAAATTTCAAAAGATGCCAATTTCCGAATAGGGTCCAGAATAAACAAGAAAGACATTCCTGGCACCAAAATAACATTTCTTCTGTTCATTAGTCATGTACCCATGCCCCTCTTACATTCTTTTGCTTTCCACTTTGAATTTTTATTCTCACAAAAAAATAGAAGATTTACTGTTATGCGGACTACTGCATTAGTGTAGAAATGGTATAAATATTATCAGCGCACTTGTGAAAGAATATTAGACTCACCAGTTGACGTGTATTGGATGCATAGCATGATTTGTTTACTTTTGAAATTTGGTAAAAATCGAACATTTCTGCTACTTTGAGCTCAATTTCAAGGTAGTTTTCTTTGTAAAACCAGTCAAAATCATCTCAATTTCTGTAATATATCTTCCATTCTATAAAATGAGACCAGGAAAACTAGAATACAACAATAAATACCATACAAAAATACAGTGCAAAGTCGCTGTTTTAATCCAAAAACACGGTCAAAGTTTTTTTTTTCTCATTACGCACTGTGTGCTGCAGGATTTTTTTATACCACGCACACTGACCACATAGACCCATTCTTTCATATGTAGGCCTACCAGCTTTCTCTCACTAGATTTGAGGGTGCTAGAATTTAGGCGTACTAGTACGTCAAAAACCCTGGTGCGTAAACTGTACTAGTACGGCCGAAACCCTGAAAGGGTTAATGCTAAAGTAAACCTGTACTTTTGAGACTGATTATAATAATTTTAAGAGTAAATAAATGGGTTTGTCTTGCATTTTTAGATAGCTTGATATCATAACTTAATAAGCAATGATTGTTTTGCCATTAAACTAGTCTTAATTCATTGTTGCAATGACTTGCAACTGTTCATTTGAATGTTCTGGAAGGTGTTTCCGTCATCACCTACTCTGGCGTCCACAATCCCGGAGTGGGCAATGATGGAGTTTCTGTTGAGAGAATTGTGCAATATTTTTAAAAGTGACCTCTTTAAAGGGGGCTCCTTGTCGTGGTAAAGAGGCTATTGGTCTGAGGAATTGGACCTTTTGGTCTTCTTCCTCAGACTGAGCCTAATTACCCCCCAATCCCCCTTCCCTATCTCATCCTCCCCATCCCCCCCTTTCCCTTTCCTCCTCCTCTCCCCATCCCTCCCCTATCCCCTTCTGTTTTCAGCCTTTGGGGTCCTTACCCTCAGGCACTCTAGTTCCTAGGTAGGGGAAAGGGGATCGTGGTCCATCCCATTCCATCGAGGTCCTTGGTGGTGGTGTAATTTGCCGTGGAATCTAGATTATCTGGGGATGTTCCAATCCCTCTCCCATCGCCCAGGGGGTGGCTTTGGGTGTCTTTCGTGTGACTGGTGTATCTCTGGAGGATGCCTTTTGGATTCCAGGGGGTGGTGGCTGAAGGAGGTATGCTTTGTGGCAGGTATCCAACCGCCGTTTCTTTTGTCCACTGAGGTGGCTTGGTAGATGTGAGGTTGCTATCCCGGATTGCTGGTTTACTGGCATGAAGGGAAGGGTATGGCACAGGTTTCATGCCCCATCTGCACTACTTGAGGTGCTGAGGTCCTCTTGGGCATGGAGAGATTTACAGCCCTTTCATTCCTCCTAGGAACTACACCTCTACGTTCCCCCTTTTTATATTTTTTTTTTTTCTCTTTTTTTTTTTTTTCTAAGAAAACAAAGAACAAAAAGAAGTGACATAACCATGGAGTCCCAAATCCATGAAACAGCTCCTCTCAGGCCCCTTTCTGCTACCACACCTTGTTCTGACCCTACCTCGTTTATTGACCATTCTTCAGGCCTTTCTAATGCTTCTGTACCTTCTGCTGGTGCTGTTTCGTCACCTGCTCCAGGTACCAAAGTTCCGCCTGACCCTTTGATACATCCGACCTCCTCTCTTCTTTGACCATGCTTCTGGCTTTTCTCTTTACGGTGTGGCAACTTTCAGAATGCCTGCCCGTCTCACGTCGGACCAGCTCCGATCCCACACCTAAATGCCCAAGACCATTAGCTGATGGTACTCCTTCACGTACCTCTCACTCTGCCCAGGAAAGACCGGCACTACACTCACTACCCTTACATGCTATGTTTCAAAATACACAATGGACTAAGTTTTTTTTACTCTTCTGCCGACTATCTTTCCGATCATTGTATCAGCAAGTTGCTCCTATGCCACGTTGGTCAAGATATATCCTTTCATGCTTTCAAGAGCAGTGCACGCATTGCCATGGTACAGAGTGCTAGCCAAGCCCGTGATCTCTCTCTCCTTACAACCATAGATGCTATTTCTGTAACAGTTGAAAAACATCATTCTCTCAATTCTTGTAGTGGTATTGTCATTCTACGTTATACCATTGTCCAGCGTAATTTCCAGACATGTGGTGATGACACTTTGGAACAGCTTGAGCTCCAAGACCTCCCAATCCTCGAAGTAGACACTTATGTCCTACTTGCCTGCAGGCGGAGAGGCTACCCTTGCAGTGTAGCTCACTTAACTTTTGATTACCGTGAGCTTCCGGGACACTGTTTGCAAGTTCAAAAGGTGATCCCTACACTGCAACAGTGTAGAAATTGCTGGCATTTTGGTCATCCAGCAAAATATTGCAGGTCCATGGCCGAATACCCAGTCTGTGGTGCCGACAACCATACCAGTACGTCTTGTAGTCTACCTTCCTCTTGCCTTAATTGTAATGAAGCTCACCCATCTTACTCTCACCATTGGGGGTTGTTTAATAACTCTCACCCGAGTTATTAAATGACCCCAAACTTCTGGGGTCCCAATTTCCACAGCCTCCTGTGTGGTTACCCCTTCCACACTCACCCCTGTCTCTAATTCTTTTGCAGTCCTTGACTCAGAGGTCCCTACCTCACCACCTCATTCTGTTCTCACCTCTTCATCTTCTCACTCACAAATTTCTGTGTCTACAAGATCTTGCACAACAACTCCTCCCCATCTCCCCTCTACTTCTCCGAAGTCCAAAATATCCCCATTGTTAAACTCTCCTTTAACCCCTCCTTCACTTATTCTACCTGCACAGTTTTCCTTTCCAGTCTCTGTACCAGGTTCTTCGCCTGTTACTGGTTCTCTTGCAAGTGTGAAGGTGCATCCTCCTCCTTGTACTGTACCTTCCTCTCCTGTCCCCTCCCAAGTTTCTTCCTCTTCTGTACCCTCCCAGGTTGCTCCCTCTCCTGTCCCCACCCAGGCTTTTTCTCAAGTTATCTCTAACATTTTGTCATCACCTACTTTGGTAAATTCTGTCATCGACCTGATCTTTACTCACCCTCCTCCTCCTATCTTCATTATTGTCCCACATACAACATCCTTGTCCTCTAAAACACTTGAAGCTATCTCCAAATGTATTGAGGACACTAAGCCATTGATGGACACTGATCCACCACCTGTTCCTCCTCCTCACTTCTCTCTGTCTGCACAACTCCTTTCTTTGCAGCGTCCCAACCCTTCACTGCTTGTTCATTTTTCACTGCCTCCACATGTGGACTTATCTAACCCTTCTAGTTCGTAGATACCTCTACCTTCAGATTTCTTGTATTCTCCTCCTTGCATATCATGGCTTATTTACAGTGGAATATCTGAGGCCTCAGAGGTCACTGGGGTGAGCTGCAGGTGTTAGTTTTTCCAGTTTTCCCATTTGTGTTTGTTTACAAAAACATAGATTACCCTCCACTGTTATCCTTCCCATCTTTGGCTATGTTTTATTACAGCCTCTCATCTTTTAGTGATGTACTCGTTTACCGACGGCTCGGACTTACGATTGGCTCTCTGACTAGTATCCATACCTAAATAATGTATATTAGAGCTGATTTCTTCTATTCTGTTTATACAGTACACTACTGTATAAACTTTTAAAAAATACTGAAAATGTTATAAATGGTGTAAAGGTGACATTAAAGATGGTTGACACAAACCCACTACCATTATAGTATGCTCCTCACTTAGCAATGAATTTTTTTACCAACGTGGTCTTGGGAACGGAACTCCATCATTAAGTGAGGAGAGGCTGTATATTCATCGGATCCTTTTCTCGTTGGAACCTTTAACCCTTTCACTGTCAGTGACATATAGATACGGCTTACAAGCCAGTGTTAGTGACGTATTAATATGCCAAAATTCTAGCTGCTTCAAATCTAGCGAGAGAAAGCTGGTAGACCTACATGTGAGAAAATGGGGCTGCGTGGTCATTGTGTACAGTACGTGTATAAAAAAAATCGAGGAGGCCGTAGTGCATTGTGGGAGCATTAATTCAGTACATCTTGTTCACCCATGCCTAGCGGTAAAGAAAACCACACTCCCCGGCGAATTGGGACTCTTCCCAAGTGATTTTATTTCCCTGTGGGTGGTGGGGAAAACAGCATGGTTGGTGGGGAAGGCAGCATGGGTGATGGACAAGGCAGCATGGGTTTGTGTAAACAACATAGCAGCATGTGTGTAGATTACCTAGGATAACCCAAAAATGCAAACAAAGTGACTTGTTTCTATGTGGGTGGTGGGGAAGACAGCATGGTTAGTGGAGAAGGCAGTGT